CAAGTGGTGGTGGTGTTGGATAGGGTGCAGAGAGGAGTGAAGGAGAAAGACCTCAAGGGTAGCTTCTGGTGTAAGCAATTTCAGAGATGGTGGAGCTGTGCAACTGAAAAGGGGGATTTTGGGAGAGATTAGTAAATCTCTGTATTTTCCCTAAGAATATTGCTTGACTTCCTATGGATGATAGTTAAAAGTTGGCAATATTAAGGGTTTCACACTGTATTGCAAGGTGGTGTAAGACTGAGTTCTGACGACCGGAGTCAAATTTCTTTCCGCATCTCACAGACTTTGCCCAATACCTGGTTCCGCCCTTTCCTAATCTCTTGTCTCCTGGCCCTGCCCGCATTAGATTTCTGCCCTTTAGACCGGCCTCGCCCTAAAAGACCTCGATCCGCCCATAAATCCACCATTTCCTCCTAGGCTAGGAGGAACCATCTGATTTACGGGTCTATTTTCCAATCATAATGCGGAAGAAATGCGGAACATCCTCTTAACTACCAATTAGGTGGTAACAGAGGCGGGCCCCGAACCGTGAAGTGGGGAAGGGAGAGGGGGCTGACCAGGAAGTGAGAGCTGAGGTTAGAAAGAACGAGTTAAGACCCGCCGGTGGTATAAAGGTGACGGGGTATTTGGACTCCCCCTGCTATCCCCTTTCTTTATTTCTGAGTAGAGGGTCCCTTCGCCTTTTGGATACAGAATTGCCTTTTTTTTTTTTTTTTTAAATGAGGAAGCGGGTGTATCCACATATTTAAATGTTTAAGGATCTTTTTTGAACTCCCATTTGTCGCTTCTCCTTCAGGTGAGTTCTCTTAACGTGAGGTAGGAGTACTGTCTCCATCCCCTTCTCGGGCGGGCGGCAAAGCTTTTGAGATCCTTCCTTAGTGCTATAGACTGATTAAAGCTCTCCTGATTGCGGGGAAGTGGAGATTGAGTGATGGAAATTGCTAGCTACACGGACTCTGCCCCTCTTGTTATGGGGTTAGAGACCTCAAACTGTGGTCCGAGGTAGTGGAGTGAAGCCAAGGGGACGAGGTTCCTGTAGTTAGGGTGGTAGTGGCTGTGTGTTGTGGAGTCGGTACCGACTCATAGCGACCCTGTACAGGGTTTCCGAGGCTGTAAATCTTGACGGGAGCAGAACGCCTCATCTTTCTCCTGCGGAACAGCTGGTAATTTCGAACTACTAGGAATAAAATAAGGCAAAGGAATGAATGGGGCCATGGTAGTTAAAAGGTCATTCAGTAGGAGAGTCCACTGTGGGACGGGAGTCGTTGAAGGTAGATTGGGGCTCTGAAATCTCCTTCCCATTTTCGAGACCGCCAGCTTTTTGTGTTTCCTTTCCCTCAGGCTTGGAGAAACACCAGAACATGTGGAATGCCAGTGCCGGTAGGTGTTTGGGAGATATCTCCTCCGCTCCCAGTCCTCTTTCCCGATGGCCTCCACTACAGAAAGTTTCTGTGTCAATTTTCCCCCTCCCCAAAAGCAAAGTCCTTGGACTACAGAGTTCACACCCTTTCTCTCTCTCAAGTCCTACCAGGTTCCATTTTTCCTCCTGTTCTCAGGCTTCTCTCCCCACCTTTCTATTCTCTTTACTTTTCCAGTTAACCTTAAGTGATGTTGTTGTGTGCCTTGGAATGGATTCTGGCTCACAGTGACCCATGTAACAAGGTAGAACTGCCCCATAAGTTTTTCTTTGTAATCTTTACTGGTGAAGTGTTGAACTTAGGACCACAAATAAGATCAGCGGTTCAGACCTAGCTGCTCTGTGGGGAAAGGATGTTACTGTATGATTCCATAAAGCTTTACAGTCTCAGAAACCTTAAGGAGCAGTTCTGCTTGCCCTCTGTAGGGTCTATGAGTCAGAATTACTCCACCGCAGTGGAGAATCTAAAGAAGCGGATTGCCAGGTTTTTCTCTGTTACGCTGTTAGCTGGGTTCAAACCACCAACCTTTTGGTTACCAACTGAGCACTTAACCATCACACCATTAGGACCTCTTTTCTTTTAAGTACTAGGTGAGAAACTGAGTCTGCTTCTTTTTTGTTGTTTGTTGTCAGAGATTCTGGGTAGTTTCAGTTTTAATGTATTTTGTTTTTTCCACCAGGGCAGCCGGGGCCAAATCCATATCCCCCCAACATTGGGTACCCTGGAGGTCCCAACGCTGTCCATCCACCACCTGCCAATCCTGCCTGTCCTCCAGGCCCCTTTCCCATTCCCCCAGGAGTACCCCAGGGGAATCCAGCTTTCCCCCCATGTGGACCCCCTCAGCCTGTGCCACAGCCAGGATATCCAGGATGTCAACCCCTAGGACCCTACCCACCCCCTGGCTGCTACCCTCCTCCATACCCACCACCTGCTCCTGGCATGCCTTCTGTGAATCCTTTGGCTCCTGGCATGGTAGGACCAGGAATGGTGATGGACAAGAAGATGCGGAAGAAAATGAAGAAAGCGCATAAAAAGATGCATAAACACCATAAACATGGCAAGGTCAGTGTTCTTCTGGAAGCTGGGGAGGGAGGGAGGGTGTACTCCCACAGAAGGACTATGCAGGCTGGGGTTGGTAGAGGAGGATTCACAGTCTGTTGCCGTGAAGGATAGTGATTGTGGTGTTTTGGTGGATGAAAGTTCTTTCCTTTGATGAAGGATTCCCACTGGTCATTTTGTGAAGAAATATTAGGTTTATTGAGCCTCCCATCTGGGAGGGGCTAGGCTGAGCCTAAGAAAAGCTAGCTGAGTCACCAACCCTTCTTGACCGCTATTTTCTCCACCAAAATGTTTGTCTCTTTTTTTCTTCCCCCACCCAGGAGCATGTTATATAACAAGTGGACACATCCACTGAGTTTGTCAATATGCCAATTATTAGAGTTAGTCCTTTGACAAAGTCTTATATGATAATTAACAAAATAATGTTATTGTTAAGTGTTGTCGAGTCGGTTCCGACTCATAGAGAGAGATCCTGGATAGGGTTTTCAAGGAGCAGCTGGTGAGCTTGAACCTCCAACCTTATGGTTCAAACCAACCTTGCAGTCCAGCACATTAACCTGCAGCACCATACCAGGACTCCAACAAAGTAATAGTGAGCCATATAAGGTTTCTGAGGCTGTAAATCTTTATGGGAGCAGACAGACTCATCTTTCTCCTGAGGAATGCTGGTGGGTTTGAACTACCAACCTGCAGTTCAGCACCTAGCCCACAGTGCCTCCAGGGCTCCTATCAGAATAATAATCTCTCCCTAATTTCTGGAGATCTTTTCTTTCCTTCAGTGTTTTCAAGGTGTTGTGTTAATTACCTAGGCTTTTTTGTCAGGGAATTAAGGATAAGAACAGGTGACTGACTCAGCCTCAAACAAAGCTTGGGACTAACAGTGTTTCATATTCAGCCCCAAGGCTAAGTATCCCTGTTCTAGAAGACTATCAATTAGGAGGGTGTAAGAGTAGCTCATAGGACAACTCCAGAAGGATTTCACTTACCTAGAGCTTGATGTTAAGTGCTGTTGACTCATAGGTACCCTGTATAGGGAGAGTTTCCAAGGCTATAAATATTTGTGGGAACAGAAGCCTCATCTTTTCCAGCAGAGCAACTGGTGGGCTCAAACTGCTGGCCTGATGGTTCACAGTCCAGTGCTTGTCCTACAGAGCTGCTGTGCTCCCTACCTGGATTTTGAGAATGTGTTAATTTGCATTTTAAGACCCATGGTGTTAGGACTGTTGAATAGATTTAGACTCATGGTAATGTCATGTGACAAGAGTAGAACTATCCCATAAGGAGAGGATACCTAGGTCTTTGTCCTATTGGGTTTGAACATAGGTTTGAACAGCCAACCTTTCTGTCAACAGCCTAGCATTTAACCATCATTTTACCAGGGTTCCTTCTTAAGGCCCATGTTGTGTTGTGTGCCTTCAAGTCAATTCTAACTCATAGCACACCTATAGCACACCTATAGCAAGCTCTACTCTATAGAGCTTGCTAAGCTAGAAATCTTTATGGTAGGAGATCACCACATCTTTTCTCCTGAGAAGCCTCTGGTAGGTTTGAACTGCCTTTTGATTTGTAGCCTAGTAGTTACCCATTGCATCATCAGGCTCTACTTAAGGCCTATAAATCCCAAAAAACTCCAAATCCATTGTCGTCAAGTCCAGTCTGACTCATAGAGATCTTATAGCACAGAGTAAAAACTGACTGCTAACCATAAGTTCGGCGGTTCAAACCCAGCCACTCCTTGGAAACCCTATACTGGTCCCTATGAGTCAGAACCAACTTGACAGTACTTAACAAAAAAATCTTTACAGAAGCAGATTGTCACATCTTTCTCCCATGGTGGGTTCAAACTGCTGACCTTTTTGGTTAGCAGCTTAACCTTTGTCCTACCACAGCTTGCTCTTAAAACCTATATTTGGCCTTAAATCTTGATTTTGAGTCTTTGGTGAAAGTCTTGAGAACGAAAGGTGAGATTGAATGGGAAAGAAATGACCCTGAAGACTCAAAAATTTTTTAATGGTAGCTATTTATTGATGAGAACTGACTCCACGGCACATAACAACAACAACAACAACATTGATGGGATTATACTTATAAGGAATCTTGACTAGAAATCCTCCAGCCTTCTCTACTGTCTTCTATACTTTCTTGTAATGGGGCTTAGGAAGAAGTAGATCCATATATATGTATACAAAGCTGCAGTTTCCACTCACTTTGCTTAGATTTACAGTTACTAGGGACTTTTCATGCAGTTTTACCAGTAAATATTTATAAGGTGGCAGCTGGCACTATGAGATAAAGTACTAGACCACAAGGTCAGTTTGAACCACAAGATGGTTGGTTCAAACTCAGCAGCCGCTCCTTGGAGGGTCGCTATGAGTTGGAACCGACTTGATGGCACTTAACAACAACAAACTGTTTCTTAGCACTATACATGTTAGTTCCTATAATTTGCAAGTAAAGAAAGTTGCATACTTGCTCCAGATAATTTGAATTCTGTGCAATATTTTAGGATGGTTTAATCCATTCTTGTATGCTTATTGCTGAAAGGAACTCTTCCTTTTGTTGTTTAAGGGATAGTCTGGTTCAAAACTCCTGACTTTCTCGGGGGGAAAAAAGAGGTACTTGGGTAGAGGGCTGGGGTACCAAAAGATGACCGTTGGGGTGATGAAGGATCATTTGGACCTGATGCTATTCCTCTCCCCTTTCCCCTTGCAGCATTCCTCCTCCTCCTCTTCCAGCAGTGACTCTGACTGAATACAGGGCCTGGACCCTTCCCTCAAGTCTCACCACTTCTGCTCTCCCATCAAGCTTCAGATGCCATGTTATACTGAGAGAAATTAGCATCTGTTCTTCTGCCTGAACCTCACCCTGATGCTCAGCCCTTACTGGCTAGAGAAAGTGAGGAAATGATTGCCATGGGCTAGCAAAGGGCTGCTTGCTTCCTGGGTAGAATATTTAGCTGATTAATTTAGCAGGGGAGTTATTTTTTTTCTGAAGATGCACCCTTTGAGTGAAATGCTGAAGACAACTTTAAGATCTATAAAATGTGATTTTTTTGAAGAAGAAGAAGGGGAAGAAAAAGCTTTCTTTTGTAATAGTGGCAGTTGGGGTGTCTTGAAGATTTCATTTTATATAATTAAATTAATTATATAATTAATTTTAATAACTTAAATTATATAGTTAATCTTATCTTTATATATATATTTAAATGGTGGTATACTTTAATGATTTAGTTGCAAATTCATTTCCTAGCAGGTCTTTCATTGTTTGCACTAACTTCAAGTCTGCTGGAAAGTGAAGTCCATTTGGTTGATGAGCTCTGCCTGCCATTTTTGAACCTCATCTCTCCTCTTTAGTTCAGTATAATATCTCAGGTCCTACTCTTGTTTGCCAGCTCTCAGTCCAAATAAAGTTATTTCTCCTGGTCTCTCTTCACCTGTGCCATTATCTTGGCTGGGCCTAGCACATTCTACTACTTTTGCTACCTTCTACAGACCTTTTTAAAGTGTATCATTTTTATAGACAAGAACTAAAGCATCGATGAGGAAGATAACATATTGTCGCTATGTTTCTTAAGTGCAAATAACCTTCAACACTGCTTCCGGTTTAGTGGAACAGGCTTTGGGTCTTCCCTTTGATGAATGGATATGGAACTTCATTGTAAATTTGTGTATCTGCTACAGAACTTCTCAGCCCTGGCTGCCCACCAGCTATTAGAATAATTTGGGGCTAAAGCCTCAGTCAAGTGAAAAAGATTCTTTAAGGATAGGGGTCCTACAAATCATTATTTTAAAGAAACTGTGGATGACTCTGAGACACAGTTAAAATCAAGGACCACCAGTTTACTATATGCCACACATTGAGTTCTCAAAGATATGTCTTCTTGTTAGGTGCTGTCGAGTTGGTTCTGATGCATAGCAACTCTGTATAGGAGTGGCTGGTGAGTTTGAACCACTGACCTTGCGGTTCAAACTGACCATGAGGTCCGTTGCCTATGCTATGGCGCCACACCAGGACTTTAGTGAAGTAAAGAGACATCTAAAAGAACTAATTATCAAAGATACTCACCAAAAATTAATAAAGATAGATGCTATAACATGCCCATGGTGAGGATATTGTTGTTTTGTTAAGTGCTGTCAAGTTGGTTCCAACCATAGCGACACTGTACAGGGTTTTTGAGGAGTGGTTGGTGAGCTTGAACAGTTGACCTTGCAGTTCAGGCCGACTTTGCAATCCAGTGCATTAACCCACAGCGCTACACCAAGACTCCATGACATAGAAATAATTCTAGGAAGGGAGAAAGGAGGCAAAGATGACTCTTGAAAGAAGTGACATTTGAACGCTAAGGCTTTGAATGAAAAAGTATGAGTAGAAAAGATGAAAAAATGGATTTACCAGTGGCAGAAAGGAGCTGGGAAAGGTATGTGCTTAGCCACAATCATAAATCAACCTAGTTTGTTTGAGAATTACAGATATCCCAGTAAGGCTATATTGCTTTTCTGGGGAATTAATAATCGAGGAACTATTGTGCTCAACCATTTTGGTGTTCAACCATTACAAGAGGTAACATATGATCAAGAGCCAAGGGTCCTGAAGGAAGAACTCCAAGATACACTGAAGGCATTAGCTAAGAACAAGGCTCCAGGAATTGATGGACTACAGGTTGAAATGTTTCAAAAAAATATGAAGCCCTGGAGACACTCATCTATGTCACGATGTATGGAAGACAACTACCTGGCCAACTGAATAAATGAGATACATATATGTGTCCATTCCAAACAGGTGACACAACAGAATGAAGAAATCACTGGAAATATCATTAATATTATATGTAAGTAAAATTTTGCTAAAGAATTTAAAACTACCTGCAACAGTACATTGACAGGGACTGCCAGAGGTTCAAGCCGATTCAGACAAGGGTGGTGATACAAGGGATATCATTGCTGACATATGGATCTTGGCTGAAAGCAGAGCATACCAGGAAAAATGTTTACCTGTGATTTATTGACTGTGCAAAGGTTTTTGACTGTGTGGATCATGACAAGCTATGCATAACATTGTAAAGAATGGGTGTTCCAGAACACTTAATTGTGCTCTTGAGCAACCTATACATAGACTAAGAGGCAGTCGTTTGAACAGAACAAGAGGTCACTGAATGGTTTAAATTCAGGAAAGGCATGCATCAGGGTTGTATTTCACTATACTTATTCAATCTGTATGCTTAGCAAATAATCCAAGAAATGGGTTATATGAAGAAGAACACGGTATCAGGATTAGAGGAAATTCATTAGCAACCTGTGATATACAGATGATACAACCTTGCTTGCTGAAAGTGAAGAGGACTTAAAAACATTTACTGATGAAGATCAAAGACCACAGCCTGCAGAATGAGTTGCTCCTCAATGTAAAGAAAACAAAAATCCTCACAATTCGACCAATAAATAACATCATGATAAATGGAGAAAAGATTGAAGTTGTCATTTTGTCCACTATAAACACTCATGTAAGCAGCAGTCAAGAAATCAAATGACATATTGTATTACGCATATCTGCTGCACAAGACCTCTTTAAAGTGTTCAAGAGTAAAGATGCCAGTTTGAGGACTATGGTGTGCCTGACCCAAGCCATGGTAATTTTCAATAGCCTCATATGCATATGAAAGTTGGGCAAAGAATAAGGAAGACTGTAGAAGCATTGATACATTTGAGATATGGTGTCGGAGAGAATATTAAAAGTACCATAGACTGCCAGAAGAACAAACAAATCTGTGTTGGAAGAAGTATAGAGTGCTCCTTAAAAGCTAGGATGGCAAGACTTGTCTCTCATACTTCGGGCGTCTTATCAAAAGAGACCAATTCCTGGAGAAGGACATCATGTTTGGTAAAGTGGAGGGTCAGCGAAAAAGAGAAAGACCCCCAACAAGATTGATTGGAACAGTGATAGTAGCAATGGGCTCAAGCGTAACAATTGTGAGGCTGGTGTAGGACTGGTGGGCAATGTTTTGTTCTGTTGTGCACACGGTCACAACGGGTCAGAACTGATGCAACGGCACGTAACAACAACAGTTGTGCTCTGGATGCTGAAGTTTCAAATATGAAGAAGATAGTCCCTGCCCTTTGTGAGCTGTAAGATCATTTGAAACAGACATGCTAATTTGTAAATATTTACAGTAAAATGACTACATTGAAGATCCAGGTTAAACAAAGGGGAACAGAGGAAGCACTGACAGCCCCATGGGTACAAATGAGCTAGTTCTGGCCTGGCCCTCAATGAGTAGGCATTTCCAAGTTGGTATATAACACGGGGTCCTGGTGTGGCACTGTAGGTTAAGCACTGAATTGCTAACCTCAAGGTTGGCAGTTCAAATCCATCAGCTGTTCCTCAGAAACCCTCTACAGGGTTGCTATGAGTCAGAATCAACTCAGTGCACTTAATGACAATGCATACTGAACATTTATTATGTGTTAGGCACCAAGTGCTTTACTTTTGTAACTTGTGGAATTGTTACAGCAACTCTATGAGGTAGGTACTATTGATTCTAATTTGCAGATGAGGGAAACTTAAGTATTAAGAGGCTAAATAACTCACCCAAGGTTACACAGTATTAAGTGGTCCAGTAAAGGAGCTCTGGTAGCGTAGCAGTTATGAACCTTAAGGTCAGGAGTTCGAAACCACCAGCTGTTTCGCGGGAGAAAAGAGGCTTTCTGCTCCCGTAAAGATTTACAGCCTCAGAAACCCTGTACAGGCTAACTATGAGTTGGAACCAACTCCACAGCACATAACCAAGAGGCAGTTGTTTGAATAGAACAAGGGGACACTGAATGGTTTAAAATTAAGAAAGGTGTGTGCCAGGGTTGTATTCTTCCACCATACTTATTCAATCTGTATGCTGAGCAAATAATCCAAGAAACTGAATTGTATGAAGAACGTGGCATCAGGATTGGAGGAAGACTCAACAACCTGCAATATGCACAGGATACAACCTTGCTTGCTGAAAGCGAAGAGAACTTAAAAAATACTGATGACGATCAAAGACTACAGCCTCCAGTATGGGTTGCACCTCAATGTGAAGAAAGCAACAATCCTCACAAGTGGACCAATAAGTAACATTATGGTAAATGGAGAAAAGATTGTAGTTGTCAAAGACTTCATTTTGCTGGGATCCACTATCAACACTCATGCAAGCAGCAGTCAAGAAATCGAATGACGTATTGCATTAGGCAAATCTGCTGCACAAGACCTCTTAAAGTGTTCAAGTCCATAGATGTTAGTTTGAGGACTAAGGTGTGCTTGACCCAAGGCAAGCTTCATATGCATGTGAAAGTTGGACAATGAATAAAGAAAATCACAGAAGAATTAATGCCTTAGAGTTATGACGTTGGAGACGAATATTGACAGTACTATGGACTACCAGAAGAACAAACCTGTGTTGGAAGAAGTATAGCCAGAAGTATAGCCAGAATGCTCCTTAGAAGCCAGAATTTTGAGACTTCATCTCTCATACTTCAGACATATTACCAGGAAAGACCAGTCCTTGGAGAAGGATATTATGCTAGGAAAGTAGGGGGTCACTGAAAAAGAAGAATTCCCCCAACGAGATGGATTGGCACAGTGGCAGCAACAATTGTGAGGATGATGAAGGACTGGGTAGTGTTTCGTTCTGTTGTGTATAGGGTAGCTATGAGTTGGAACTGATTGGACAGCACTTAACAATAGCAACAACATAAATATATACTAACACAAGGAACATAGGG